ATTTTTTACTTCTCCGAGATTTTTCATCTATCAGTTGCGTGAAATTATGTCACGATTTCGACGGGACGTGGAAATGGAAGTGAAAAAGTGGAACATCGCGACGATCGAAGATATTTTGAGAACCTGGATAGAAGTTTGGTGGATTCGCGGGAGGAGCAGAGAGAAATGGGCAAAGATGGAAGCCGAGGTGTCCTCTCGAGTGTTTTCGCAAGCCCGGAGTCGAACCCTTGGAAAAACAGACGCCAAATTGAATCCCACGTCTATAAGAACGTGATGTCTCTCCCTTATCTATATAACTCTACCACTCGAGCATTTTCCTTCGGGGTTCCTCGAGTTTCTTCGTCCACGGATTACAAGTCTCTCTGTATTCCTCGAGCGGGTACCGTCGCGAATTCACCAAGCGAGATTCAACGAAATATAATTTCAGTTCTATTCGAAATATTCTAATGAAAGGAAATGGATAAAATTAACGCTTTTACTCCAAAATTATGCGTTATGCGAATAGCAGGTAGCAAAACGATAAAGCAAACGTAACGACCAAATGCAAGGTGTTTCAGATAAAGGAAACTACCCAAACATATCTTCTGTTTTTTATGCTATGAGAAAGTTTCTGTTGAATTAGCTTTACCATGTAATTTGAAATGGGATATTCATGTCCCTTTAGATAGGTAAGTTTGGTTGTAAGACACAATATCATGTAGGAACATTTACAATAGGGACGCGACCGAGACAAAAGAAAAAAAGGTTCCGATTTTCTGCGAAAAGTAAACGGTTAGTACGTCCCCGGTGTATCAAAATTAAAGGATGGTCAGTAGTTCAGTTTCGATAGCTCATGCGAACAGTCGCGAATTCTAAGCGGTTTACACGTGATAAAGTTATACTTATTTCTACAATAAATTCTTTCTCAATTTGGTACAGGCTCTGCAGTTTATTTATCAATCCTGATAAGTAAAAGACTCTACAGTTTCATAGAATGATACGAATGGTTTCGAATGAGGAATATCCTGTAACAAGAATTATTTGTTGGCTGATTTGCTTCGATTCTTTCTTCTCATGTAAAAAATGTGTTCTGTTTTCTATTGTGTCGTGTAGCGGATGGATAAATACAATGCGATATAAAAAAAACTACAATTTCCGATAGGGAGGTAGACTCCGATAACTACGCGATAAGACAGAATATCAGTGATACGCATTGCATTAGCTAAACGTATCAGTTTGCGTCATTCGATTCTAAGTCTCAATTTCCTCAAAAGATCAAGACAAAATTATTTTTACGATTCATTCTGCGACGCTCTGGTAATTATTCAATCAGATTATGTCGATATTTAATAAAACAAATGTTATAAAGCTAGTTGTTTCGATTTTCAGCAATTTTATGCCATAGAGAGATTATTCTAAACAAAATAAGGTCCGAAGCTTCCTGTAATACACCTTAACCCTTTTAGTACCGGCGAAAAGAACGTACCTAACAATAAGCGAAGAATACCGGACCGAATCGGCGAATTTGCAGAGGTTTGCGAAAATGCTCGTAAAAACGAAAGTAGAAGTGATATTTACAAAATATAAAAAGCAGCATATTCGGAAATAAAGGGAGAATAAAACGTTACGAATTGTGTTTCATTATTTATTGAAAATTTGAACGACGATATATCGTCGTTCGGTACTAAAAGGGTTAAATTAAAAATTAAAACGAATTTTATCTTGATTCTCTGAGAAGTAGAGATGTAGAATCGAATAATGTGAATCCATATTTTCCACTGTTTCTGCCTGGTTATCGATAAAGGAGTAAAAAACGTTAAGAATCTAGCGACAAATGTTAGAAGTCACGTGATTATCCTAGCCTGAGCTTTACTATTCATAAAGTCAAACACAAAATTAAAAATCACCGTTTCGCGTTTACCTTCGTGAATAGCGAAAATTTCTCATAACATAAAAAACAGGATAGATATTTAGCAGACACTCTGCAGGCACTGTGAGGCACCACGTGGTCTCATCCAACATACGCGCGTATCACTTTCCTCGACAATTCGCAACCCCCTCCCGTTCAAAGCCACCCCATGGAAGCCTCTAAAAATCTTGAAACATGGAAAATAATTCCAATCACCGATACATCCTGACAGTCCGTAATCTCGCGTAAAGTTACGATATTTAAAAAGTGTCCGACGACGGAAAGTGTGAAGCGTCGCGTCCGTCGCGCGATACGCTACGCGGCGCGGTAGTTAAAAATTTCGCGCGCGCTCTCACACCAGGCAAAGTGCATTACATATAACTTACACGGCTGGAGCCAGGGGCTCATTGTCTCGCTTTTGTTGCGCGCGTTGCGAGGGCGTGACTAAAGCGAACTCTCGGGCACTCGGCTGGGATCCCTGGCAACTGTTGGCCCACAGACCCATCCGCGTTGTTCGGTCGGAAACCAGTTCCTCGGTTGGTCGAGGTTCGCAGGCGGAGTCGTTTGAAACCGGGCGAGCCAATCCCGTGGCGGAATCGAGGGACAGGCGGCTGGGTTTTGATTTTTCGAAAAGAGAGGCGCCACGCCGCGCAGCCGTGCTCGTGGGCTCCGGACACTTGGCTCGCTCGCGAGGCCGAGGCCCCAGTGTGTTTTTACTCGGGGTTGAGTAAACTCCGGCCTGTTGTGTATCATAATACGGCGCGCCACGCGGGTTTAGGACCACTGGATCGACCACTGGATGCAACCCTCGTCACGCGCGCCTCGCCGCTCGCCTTTTTCACCGGTTACCGAGGCCCTACCGCACGGGTAGAGGTGCCAGCCTCGACAAACCATCCGTTTAAACGGCTCAACGAGTAAACGATCATCCGCCGACGGAATTCATCATCTCCGAATCCATCCGCGACCACGATGACACCGTATGAGTCTCACAAAAGTTGAGTGAGTGACCGTCAACCCGTTACTCTCGGTCGCAACAGTGAAATTTTCATCAAATCAGTGACAGAGTGTGTTTGCCTAGTGACTGATCCAGATCAGTGAGTGAAACTTATTAAAAAACTGCCGTTAAATAAAAATAGCCAATCGAAAGACCCTAGAACTGTAAAAGTAATAGACAGAAAATCTGAAAACTACGTCAAGTCCTACGTAAAATATCAAACAAATCCATAAAGAACGAGTTCTGACAGTTCAATCGTCATATAGTGATCGCATATTAGGTGTGTCAATAATTCGGTATAAAAATGCATACCTTATTTAGCGAGCAGAACGCGTATTACAGACACGCAACGGCGGTGCCCGTTGGGATGGGAACCCCGTCGTATCCAGGGGTGGGCGCCACGCCGGGATACTACGAACAATACCGATATGGTGGCTACGCGACGGCCGCGGGTTACCCGGTCTCCGGTATAACCCAGCAACACATCCATCATCCGGGCAAAGACATGGTGAAACCGCCGTATTCGTACATAGCGTTAATCGCCATGGCGATACAGCACGCGCCGGACAAGAAAATTACCCTAAACGGCATATATCAGTTCATCATGGAGCGATTCCCATATTACCGCGAGAATAAGCAAGGCTGGCAGAATTCGATCAGGCATAATTTAAGCTTGAACGAGTGTTTCGTCAAAGTGCCAAGAGACGACAAAAAACCGGGCAAGGGAAGCTACTGGTCGTTAGACCCAGATAGTTACAACATGTTCGACAACGGTTCTTACCTGAGGCGTCGCAGACGCTTTAAGAAAAAAGACGCGTTGAAAGAGAAAGAGGAAGCTATGAAGAGGCAAGGCTTGGTACCGGAGAAACAACGTACTCAGGAAGAAACGAAGCCTGGTAACGTGGGTATTTCACAGCCGACGGACAACTCGGTGAAAAAATGTGGCACGATGGAGGCTACTTTATGCAAGCCGAAGAGAGAGCCGGTGAATGATACTGGGAATCACTGCATGGCGGTGCAGGCTAAATACGGTCTTCACAGTCCGATTCAGGATACGAAATCCGCGGTGACTACGAGCAGTGCCGTCGCTGTCGGCGGGCAGAGTGTTATCCAGACGACGCTGGGTCACCAGGTGCACCAAGTTCACCAGGACGCGATTCAGGACGTGTCCATGGGTCTGGACCCGACTAGTTTCAGCGTGGACGCGTTGATGACGACGCGGGAAAATAGTGCCGCGTTGATGACGAGGGACAATCAGCATCACGCGCACCACGGCCACGGTCTTCAGCATCCACACCCTCACTCGATCATGACCAGCAGCAGAGAGTCGATGGGTGGCGGAGTGGTCTCCAGGGAGCATTTACCGTCCGTGTGTGCGACTACGACCACCACGACCGCGGCCGTCGCGGCGATGATGGCTACCACCGGGTACGGTCACGCTAGCACCGTGCCCAGGAGCAACGGTTCGCCGCCCGGAACCATGTACGCGCCCTACTGTACACCTACGCCTGGTTACATCATGGATCACGCGGAATATAACTCGAGGAATCACAACAATACCGCGGGACACTCGCAGTGGTACCAGGAGGCTGCTAGCCCCGACGCCGCGGCGATTTATCAGGATACTCAGTCACCGAGCTGTCAGCTTTACAGGTGAGAAATTAGAGAGATTGAAAACTGGATATCGTACAATTAATAAGATATAGAATCCTGTTTGAGTTCATAATCAAAGTAGTTGGAAATTCTCTTTAGACTAGCAATGTTCTTACGTCACTTTATAACTGCGAACTCATCAGACGATTGTGGAATTTTATGCGTTTATAAAAAATGTCAATGTGTTAAACTTTGAATAGTGCATTTAATATGCGAAGATATAGAAAATATCAGAAGTAAAGTGCTTAATACGATATTTAAGGAGTTATGCTAGTCACGTGAATTTTCTGACACTTGTCAGAAAATTGACCATTGTAGCTGTTTTATCGATGACAAGGTAATGATCTTTATTTCTCAGAGAATCGAGATAAAATCAATCTTTAGTCTATTCCAGGGCACTCAGCCTTATTGTATTCAGAACGATCTCTATTTTATACTGAAATCCCAATGCATAGGAACTGAGAGCTTTGTTTCATTTTGTAACATTTATAATTACCAGTGCGCTTTAGAATGACTCTTAAACTAAACATTAAGACGAATTTTGTCTTCATTCTCTGAGAAATAAATACGTAGAATCGAATGGCGTAAATCCATACTTTCAGCAAATTTAGCGTTTATCATTGATTTAAAAAATGTAAGACAATTCACTCAATATGCAAAAATGTAGAAGATATCATATCAAATAAAGTGTATGATATATTCAGTGAGAAAAACCGAAGTACATATAAATTACATTCTTTAATTCTACATGCTAAATATTTTATTATACATATATGTATATAAAAATCTGCAGTCTAAGAATATCTCGTTCTTCGATATTTATTTATTTATTTATCTTTTTATTATATACACTTTTAATATATACTNGTATGAAACACTGAACTCTGAATCAAATATTTAAGAAATTTGGAGATTTTTCATCAGTGAAAATGAATAAGAAGCGAGTTTTATATTACAGTTTTATGTGTCAGTGTCTAATTGTCATAATGTTATAATTTTCCAGATCCAGCCCTCCAACTCCGCTCTCGTCGAGCGCAGCCCCGTCACCGCCCCTGTACCACCGATATTATCAAGACTGCAACACCGTTAACACCAGTGGCAATCTACCGATCACGCTGCACAAGTACTGAGAATACCGACATTCAAGGCCTCATCCCCGAGGCCTTGAAGAGCATCACAACGAACACTACGACCCGAGCCTCGTTTACGTGAAGCAAGAGTGGATCCCGTGCACGGAAGAGCTCGCCAAAGAGTGGAACTAGATAAGTCAAATAAAAATCCATGCCGACCCAAGGCGTGAAAGTAACGATTTTCGGAAAGTTCGTCTCGGAAAACTGTAGATACTTTAATTTAATCATTCAGGCAATAGAGGAGATCGTGGATGTACACTTAGCACGTTGTAGACGCAGCAATGAATATTAACGAATAGAAAAAGGAACTGCGGTCTGTCTAAGAATTAACAGAATTGACGTTACATTCTTTGAATATGACAATTTTTACAATTATCACCGGTGTATTTGATTGACACATAATGTAATCAATTTTGTTATTTTTTATACAGACGGTTATCGAGAATGCTTGCTCCGAATTATTCGAATAATTCAGTGTAACAGCGTTCGTCGAATCGAGAGTTTGATCGGTAGCCGAGCGGAACGGATCGAGTTCGTCCGTTCGTGTTTTCTATTAACGCTTACTACGATTCTGCATCGCGAACGAACGAGAACAAGTGAAAAACGAACGCAAGAAACGACAGTGATCGAAACGCGAGTCCGGCGCGACGGACACTTGACATTTCCGATTCGTTATCGCGATCAACGGGCACGTGTACGTCGTGTCTACGCGTGAAGAAATTCGGTGCGCGTGTTCGGCTCGCGTGTGGTCGAACGATCTCGGGGATTGACAGTGTGTATTGCCTACCACGGAATCGTGAACGTATGAAACCAGGGTTGGACTGTTCCTTTCGCGTCGTTTTCTTTTCTCGGGCCGTGGAAAAACCGGAGAGACCGATAATTGAACAAACGCAATTGAGAACGCCTCAACGAGTACCGTTTTTTCTACGCGAGAACTCCTAACTTTTTTCATCCAACTTTTTCCCTGGCTTAATTATCGTTTAAATTGAATTCCAACGTTTCGGCCTCGCTCCGAAAGACGTTCAACTTAACAGCGAGGAGGGAACACTGGTACGTTTGATGAAAGTTCGATCACATAATTTTTGATAACTCGATTGAAATAGTAATCGAATATTACACTTCTGGTATTTTAATCTTGCACAGTTCGATCTGCATGATTATTTAAATTAATTTTAATACTGTACAAGATTAAAGTAATTGGAAGTGGGATAAGCGGAGACTTTTTTCATCGGCTCACCGTTCCTTCCGATCTGATCGATTTTATCGTGTATAGAGACGTTCATTAATGAATTGGAAGCTGATGATGTCCCGCGAAAACAGCTGTGAATATCAATGACGGTCGTCGTCATCCGAACAAACAAAGCCAGGATCTCTTCACTGACCTCTGCTAATCCGACTCGAAATTCTCCTCTCGCTATAATATAATAGCATTTCCACAACTATCTATGCGATTACCACTTTCCGAATATAAACTTCGTTACAATTGAACAGACAGTAAAAAAATATTTCGTTCTTGTCGCAATCAAAATTCATACATTCAACATGGAACAAAAAATGTTTTATCTAGGCTGATATCAAAGATTGATAACGTCATTATTAATTGCAATTTCTGTTATAATTCGTGTGAAACAGACGGTGGTAAAAAGAACAGATTTGTTGGAAAGGAAAGTGGCGTGGTCGTTCCTCGATAGAAGTTTGCGAGGTTTTTCGTGTCTCGTCATTTGTGCATTTATTCGTGTAAAACGTCATTCCTTGCGGCCGATGCGCGTTTCGGTAGCACGAGATTGGTCGTTCGACGAAGAGAAACCGTTGAGTTATAAGATATAATTTATTAAAAAAACGGATAATGTGAATAATTAAAATAAGAACCGACAGTACGATTGCAAAACCGATTTGGAATCGTATCGTAGATAGATCTCTGCGTGTATATTATTAAAAAAGAAGAGAGTATATATATATATATATATATATAGATATATAGATTGTATAGATAAAGCTATATGTATAAATAGACAAATCGATATTATGCGGAAACGTATTGGTATTACGGTTAAATAATAATAATCGAAAACTTATTAAACGTAGGATGAATCGTGCGAATTACGAAACCTTACGAAATAAACGTATTGAATCACAACCGAAAACAAGTGTTACATTTCTTCGGGACATCTCGTATGAATTATAAAATCCTTCCATCCAATCCCAGGAATAAAACAAACTTGTAAATCTACTATCGAACGCGTCATACGTTTATTGATATTACAAAGAGCAAAATATTTCCGTTGCATTTTACTTCCTCTCGTTTCTTGTTACTTCATTCGGACGAGAAAACGACAGATGCGAACAACAGTGAAAATAATTTGCTCGTTCAATTAAATTGGGAGTTGATCAAAATTTAATTCGCGAAAAATGTACTTCATCGACGAACGAGGAGAAAGACGAGGGACGCCTGATATTAAAAATGAAAATCAAACAGTCGGATTAATAAAATGCGCCGTCGATTTCATGGCGGACGGTATAAAAACGACCGGATATAAAAGCTGGGCAAAGCGTCGACGGTGCGAAGGTGAAACCGATTTTAAAAGCTTCAGGAAAATTTACGAACAGACGCTTCGACTCCACCGGACGTACATATACACGCGTAAGCGCTGCATCTCACGAACCGACACTTTGTTGCTCCTCTCTTGAACAGAGATCGATCCTGATTATTTCTAGTCTCGATCTGCGAAACGTTATTTCTCCCTCGGACGCATCGGCGTGGGCGATAATGGAAAGGTAAGAATATCTTGCAACGTTCGACCGACCCGATCCGTATCTGCGTTCGTTGAGATATTTCCACGATCGAACGACACCGAGAAGGCCGCGTAACTCTGATGGAATTTCCTTCATAGAATTCGAAATCGAATTACTATGCCAATTTGATTGAAAACAGAAGAGCGTGTTTGGCATCGTCAAAGTAGACTAAGTTCAACTGGCTATAAAATATATTCGTGAATACGTTAAACTATTCTTATAATAATAATAATAATAATAATAATAATGATCTATTTCAGCCTTGCAGCCAAGAAATGTGGACTTGGTTTAAATTTGCTCTCCTAGAATCCTAACTCATTATTTCCTTTCATTCCACTGACACATTCTCTCTATCTCTTTCTATCTCATTCCTATTTTGTTCAATTACTATATATTTGTTATTACTTCTAATTAATATAATAATTCATACTCTTATCTCTCATTTTACTAGACTTTGTATAGTAATTGTCCCAATTTTTGTTCACGTCACAATTTCTACTCACTGGCTATTTCTTCTACAATTCCAAATGCAATCTTAAGCCAGTCATTAGAAACTATGACATGAACAAAAATTAGAACATTTATTATATAATTTATCGTTTTCCTTATTGTACGTTTATTTCCTTTTCCTTCTTTCTGGTTTCGAACTTTCAAGCCATTTGTCTATATTTTGATCAATCCTTTCACTTGCTACCTTCAATCTAATTCCATTTTCCTACACCTAAACTATTTTTATGTAAATTTGCTATGTACAATAAAATCTTTCATAGTAAGAAAATATAAAATAATTCTTAGAATAACTTGTATTAAAAGGGAAAAAAAGGTGAAGGATCTGATGATTCGTTAAGGGTGGAAAGTTGCGTTGTTACTGATTTTAGCCCGCAGGCAGGATTTAACTGCATCTGCCGAAACACGTGCTCTGGATAAAGCCGGGGTTTCGGAGCCGTACCCACCGTGCCGCCAATCCGTTAGTTCGCCGAAAGATAGAGTATATACCTATCGACCAGTTAGCAGAATCCCTTCGAGCACGCGTCGGTCTATTGCGTTCCTCTCGCCTTAGGGTCTCTAGTTTATGGAAAAGCCGGGGTCGAGGATCTCTCGGAAGGTAAACGCGTGCCCCGTTCTAGAATACGTGATGTTTCCCGTCAGAATTCCGCTTATTACGGTACCCGCACGTTTCTACAATCTTTTTTCGCATAACATCGCCTCCTTGGAAATTTCCTTAGAAAGGGGTTGCAACAGGGGTTGCTTTGAGATAATCTTTAGCCGCATTAGCTGCGTCAGCTTATTTCTTGTGCGATTAACGAAACAACGTAGCGGTTCGAACAAAGACAAATGCTTGCTCTCCCCGCGGTTTCACTGCACGGCGGCGGAGGGAACTTGAACGTATGCAAGAATGCATCAGTCAAGGTACGAGTGAGAATTCACTTTACCGCATCGAGTGACGTTAGTATTTTTCAGTTAAAATCGTTTCGAAAATTGACGGCAATCGTGAATGCAAATGTGACGCCTGGTTGAATTAACGGGAAATTGCTTGGGAAGTTTATTAATTGCCTGTGACAGCCACTCTATCAAAGACGGAATCGAATTAGCGATCGACGGGTGAAAGTGACGGACGTCAGAAGTGGTATTTGCGCGGAATGTAAACTGTACGGGATGGCGGCTCGGCATTAGCCTCTAAACCGTGCAAACACACCGTCGTCGTGTTCCGTGCTCCACGGGAGGGGCAATTTTAGACCCTCGAGGGTGCAAAAGTCATCGGGGCCTTTACCCGTACCCTCGATCTCCGTGGCAAACACTTAAAATTATCCACCCCGCGGAGTGCAAATATGCCGTGTTCGAATTTTCATCTTCAACCGCCGTGCTCGAATTTTATTTACTTCTGGAAGGAAAGGATTACTACTGATCTAAAAGTCGCATTGAAAAGTATCTGGTTCTTAAGGAAGGATAGAATCTCGCCTCTGTGTTGATAAAAATAAAAATAAGAGATTATTATAAAATAAGTTAAATAAGTCAACAACGTAAAAATGTTACAATAAAATATAATACAAGAGTAAAAGATAAAATAATTGATATCTGGTTAATAGATATAAACAGTATTAAAAATTTCATAATAATTAAAAATTGAAGCTATTTCTTCCTTGCCTTAAATTTGCAAACTCATTTATTAATTCTGTCCTACCCATTATTAATTCTGTCCTACCCAGTCTTGAAGTTCCTTTATGTTCAATGACTCATAGTAATTCTTTTATAGTCTCTTATTATGTAAGTGGAATACAGAAATCCTTCTGTTCTCAGGCTTTCTGTTTTCGTGTAAACATTTTTATGCACTATGATCTAGATTGTGTTTTATATTATGTATTTTATTCTCATCTTTTCATTCCTCTATATCGTAACTACACCACTGATTGAGAATTTCAATAGCTCAATCGCAGATGAACGAAGTATAAAGCTCTAACGATAACCCAATTACACGATGAAGAAGTAAACGATCGTATAAAAATTCCGAGTACCAGCACGTTTTGTAACTCGTTGACTACGTAATTCCGATGCTGGGACAGCTGGCGAGGAAAAAAACTTCGGTTTTCGGTGGAAAAGAATCCTCGTCGTAAAAACGGAAAGTTTGATGGCATCGGAGCTAGGTTCTCACGTGTGACGTAAACATCTCGTGGACGGAAAAACCGCGAGCCTGGGCGAGGATAATTTTAATGGAAAGTATAATATGGAACGATGGTTCTCAAGCCACGGCTTAGCGTCTTTCGTTTTCCTCTCGCCTTTTTCCCTCCGCCCATTTTTGTCTCGTCCCGTTCTGCTGCTTCCTCCGCGTAACCAGTTGCGGCCGTATTAGCGGTTCCGTGCAATCATCAATTTCAAACAGGAGAACGAGAGAAAAAAAGTTTGGCCGCCGGCTTACTTAAACAAACAGTACGCTCTACGAAATGGACGGAGAGAGAAGGAGCACCGAAACGCAACGTGTAAACCCGCTGCTTGCTCTTCTTCTTCGTTTCCGACTTACGTTTTTTTCTAAGCAACCGATATGCACGCAGCGAGGGCGAGAGCTTACGAAAACGCGTTACAGAAACCGCAACGTTCAGTTTTAAACGAAAACCGAAACGTACAATAAAATTAATGACTTTCTTCCTCTTTATCGATGGACCTTGAACGTTTGTTATGTAAAAAGAGGGGCTTCACGTTTATTTATCGAGCTTTTTAACCCTGACCATAAACTAAAACGTATCGAAGTCAGGCCACGATTGATCTTCGTTAAACATTATCGGTTCTCTGTCGTAAAAGAAATGAAAATTAAGTAAGTAACTGAAATCTACAAACCGGTGATAATATAACTGTTAGCTCTAATTCTAATTTCTAGTCACAGAAACTGCTATTGAAGGAGAGCGTGGAGGTAGCTGTCGATTAAAACGTCTCGGTTAAATTTCGTTGGAATATATTTAACGTAAAACTCGAGGCGGAGGAAGGAACGCGGCGGCGGGGGAGAGAGAACGTTGGGGTAGGAGGGTTGGAAGAGAAGAACGAACGAGGCAGGAGATTCGCCATCGTCTGCTTGTCCAGGGGAAGACGACAGGTGCTCGTTTCCCAGAGACCCGCGGCAAAACGCGAAACTGGAATCGCTGCTCGAGTGCCGTGACCTAACATCGACGCCGGCTTCTATCATCGTTCTATGTCCTTCCTCATCTTCATTGTTTCTCCTCTGCCCGAGAAATTTACCTATTTGTCTCGCATTCAACAAATGTTAACAGCAGAAGTAGCACGATAAACCTTCTTCTGTTTAAAATATATTTCTCAGAATCATTCGACGCATTAAAATGCAAAAAATGTAATAATAATTCCTTGCAAGAAGGAAATTTTTGTATTTAAGACAATTCTGCTTGAAGACGAATGTATTCAGCTATGATACATTGAAGCGTAAAGAAACGATTAAAATAGAATTATAGCTGAGAAAATTATGGTAATTGCAAGGAGAGAGAGAGAGATGCGAAGTATGCGCGAAAACGAAAATGGAAATGTGGAGGTGGATAAATAGAATTTCATTTACATCCAACGCAGCGGTATTGCCTGGACTAAAGGGTAAAATAAAAGTAGACTACCCTTGGGGATATAACTGGTAAAAGAGAAAGGAAAGAATCGTGGGGGGGTGGAAATCGAATCATTTGAATCAATTACAGGCGAGAGTAGGCACGTCGCGATATTACCATCTATATTTTTATCTCCTGGGCTCGGTTTCTCTTTTAATCGCGTATTCCATCGTGCCGTTCTCAGATGGGAATGAAAAACGTCGGAGGGAAAACAGAGGGAATAACGCGATACGGGACGATGGAAATTAGCT